GTATGTTGTTTGTGACTAAAGTTTGTATTATTCGTATCGTCGAGTCTCACCAATTTCACGGTGTAACAATTGGCAATATATATATATACATCATTATACATGTGTGTGTGTGTGTTCGTGCTTGCGTGTTGCTTGCGTGTCGTGCGTGCGGCGAGCGTGTGTCACGCGTTGTGCGCCGCTCTCGTTTGTGTGGTAGCTGTGTAATTATAAGACCAGCGACAGGCGAACACAGTTGAATGTGAATGCCATCGGCTTACCATTCTTCCACGATTGCCGGCAGCAATGCGATCGCACATTGGAACATGACGGCCTTGCAGCCAGCTGGCGCCAATTCTGCTGGCGTCCCGTGACATATTATCGATGTAAGACAGCGCCGATGCTGCGAACGCCGCGTCGTCGAGAAGCCAAATGTGCGCTGCAGTTGCTGCGCCACACGTCCTGCATTAAAACAAACCGATAGAAAAACACAACGTTGATCCGTTTGTAGCAGCAGTCGGCACGACCGTCGGCGGATAATAGTTAGTAAATAATACATAATAATAATAGTTGAGTTAGTAGTAGTAGTAGTAGTAGTAGTAGTCAGTAGTTCAGTAGTAGTAGAAGTGAGTAGTAGTAGTAGAGTTAGTTAGCAGCACAGTATCGCACAACAACACAGCACACAACACACAAACAACAGCAGGCAGCATTTATAGTATGTGTGAGCCAGCGGCGGCGGCGGCCGGCGGCGGCAGCAGCAGCAGCAGCAGCAGCAGCAGCAGCAGTAGTAGTAGTAGTGCCGGCGGCGGCAGCAGCAGCAGCAGCAGCCTCCATGGGGATTAAAGGATATTCGGCGCATTTCCATTACTAATCCGCTATAATAAAAACAAGCACGACTTGCGTCATCAGACTGCTAACCGTCTACTCGTATTACCTGGGTCTCCCCCCACACCTCTCCTTCGCTCGCTCTCGTTCTGTTTCTCGCTCTCTCGCTCTCTCTTTCTCGCTCTCACTATCTTTATCTTTCTTTGTCTTTCTCTGTGGGTGAGGGGGGAGGGGGGGGGGTGCGTGTGTTCTCCCTCTCTCGCTCTCTCATTTATTCTTCAAAGAACCTTTTCCACGCATGTTACGGTACACTCTGTAAATAAGCTATCACGTTCTAATAGGATAATCTCCTAGATGTTCCTCTGCATGGCTCACACCAATACGTTTCCCAGGCGTGATATCCTCGCACATGCACAACCCTTTTCAAAATACACGGCCTTCACCAGATATATTGCTTGCCCACTGCTTTAAGCAACACTCAACCTACTGTAATCGCATGCGTTACATTCCCAAGGGCGTAGCCGCTTTATTATAGATTTAGGAGAAATGTGATAGCCGGAAAATGTATGTCGTGTAGTCGTCCGTGAAACCTTCGTCGCGCACCCATGCGCGCTTATTAACACACCACTTCATCCGCCAAGGTATTTACTCATGATATGGCCTTGCTACTATGTCAGGTAGCCTGTGTCTTATTGCTGCCACTTGAGATGTTTTACCTACTGGTCGTTACATCTGCGATACAATACACACACTACGCACGCACGCACGCACGCGCACCGCAACGCACGGACGAGGCACATTCACACTGTATATATAATATAATATGAATATTATATACTGATTATTATTTATATATATATATATATATATATGCTGCATATGCAATATAATATCCCGATAAATTCAGCTTACTGCGAACAGCGCGTTGCTTTCATTCCAGACAAGGTGCGTGAAGCAGCGAGTGAACGCGTGGTCGATGTACACATCGAATGGCACGTAGCCCAGCTCCATGATCCTACAGTAGCCTCCCAACGCACCGAGCGCCGACACACCCGTCAACGGTGTCATGTCGGCGGCCGACAGCACCTGTGCAGTGATTAACCATCATCAGCGACGGCGTCGTCGTCGTCGTCGTCATAATAATAAACAATGCCAATAGCAACAACAGCAGACACAGCAAGAACACGACGACGACGACGACGTTGACAACGACGACGTTGACAACGACGACGTTGACAACGACGACGTTGACAACGACAACGACGACGACGAGTCTATCAGCCATGATGGCAACGTGTCGATTTCATGCTGTGGTGTGAATGCCGCCACCGGATAGCCAGGGAAATCAAACCCGAATAAATAAATATACGGAGTAATTGAACAAACTTAAGTTTGGCGTTTTTTCTTAATATCAAGTTCGATTCGTGAAAATAGATGGCACTTGGACGCCTCTGTACCAGTGCGCCTAATTATCGTTTCATACAATAAGAATATCAGGAGCACATGAATACATATTCTCCATAGATGTACTCTTGAGAATATGAATCTCACGCGTAGCAACCGACGTGAACCATAAATAGTGAGACGGATAAGCACGCAAACTGTGCACTTTTCAATGTTAAGCTTATGTACGATATGCAAAATATTTCTATGTAAAAGTGCGAGATATGGTCATTTTGATGTAATTATCCTATTCAGCTAAACACGCCTTTACAGCTGAATACTGGAAAGGAAAACTGACCAACATACCGGCGCTGGTCGGAAGAGCAAAACGAGGAGAGCGAGTGCGCCAGCCACGATGTAACCTCGGTCCCGTAGCATATCGATACAAAGAAGCGACAACGAATAGATAGATATTCTGACTCAGATGTCACCGCCGCTGTGACGTTTCGTTGACTAATACAGCCTCACTCGTCAGCGAAACCTCGCTACAGCTTCTACGCCAGCCAGCCTACAAGTTTCGCAAACGGCTCACGCGAAACCGATCAAACGCGTAACTTCTTTCTAGTCTTTCGTGTCTTCTCTGTCGTCTGCCTTCTGCTGGAATCACTGCGGTGGCGACACGACGGCTCGACTTATGGTGAGAGACAGACGTTGTGCTGTCAGTGCCAACGGCTTGCGTAACACCGATCAGACGCGAAACTCTCCCGCTGTCTTCTGTTGGAATCGCCGCGGCGGCCCCGCGAGGCGACTAGACGACAAGGGGGCGTACGCGGCGCCGTTAGTGTCAACGCGATGGCTCGTGATCGTCGATTCAGGTGCGAGCAGCTAGAGTGTTGTCATCGCCGGCCGTCGCGACTGATTACGTCGCTCACGATGGCACATCAAACACGCAGCCGTACACGCCGCGCCGGTAATTAACAAGTGATCGAGCGCCGCCGCGACGACGAGCAGATGGTCGACGAAGTGTCGGAGCGGCCGCACGCATGCGCCCACGCAGCCGGCGTGCGAGGCGTGACGTCACGCGCGACGCAATGATTGATGCTGTTCCAGGGGTCGAACCGCCATAGAGTGTAGATTGTAATGTATATTAATGACTGAAATCTATTATAACATTATGTACTATGTGTATGTATTGTACGTATTGTATGTATGATAGGCATTATAGAACACTATGTATTATATGTATACATTTCATGAATGATATGTATTAGAAGACTTCGTATTAAACGCATGTATTGTATGAATAATTTATTTATATACTATATGTATGTAACTATATACGCGACGTAAATTCATGCTAAATCAGTACAGATTCAAAGGCCGATCTTCACTCGAAACATTTGCCAGATTGTTTTCGAGAATTTCCAGCATGTAGTCGAATCCCGTTTTAAACACAAAAATGGCCGACCCGTCACCATGGCTACACCACTTGACGCAATGGTACAATTACACGACAAAATCAATCTCACTTCAAATGCCTTCTAGATGTCCACGAGGCACCTACCTTGCGTAAATAATACTAATTAGTGCACTATACATCCGAATTTTACCGCAACAATTTTAAAAGAATGTCTTTTCCAGGTACGAAATGTGCGGTATGGCACCAAAACGATAAGTGTTCGTACGCGGATCTGTTTCCGCGCTTATGTTATCTTATGTAACTAAATAATAATAAATTAACAGTTTAACCCAACATAATAAGGAATTAAAATAGAAGCGAAAGATATGCTTGGTAATATAATAAATATTGTGTAGTAACCATGCACGCTACGTCAAATAAAATAATGGCAGTGGAATCTTACCACTGTGGAATATTTGACATTTATCCTGTTTGTTATACTCATTAGCAAAAATCGCTGAATAATTTGCAGTGTGTATACGCATGGTGTGAGATAAAGTCACATTTAGCAAATAATTACGTTTAATTGGAAAAAGGGGAAAACTGACCAGACTGCATGGTAAGAACGCAGGGCGCACCTTCGCGATTATACTACGATTGGACTCGAGTGTACTTTCCGATTGTGAAGAGTTGCGGGAAGAATAATAATAAATTGAGCATTTCGCCCCATATTGCACCCGCCCCTCGTTACCGACGCACGCGTCAACAGAAACTGACAAGCGATTTACGTGTTGTAAACGGTTAACGCGGCAAAACTTTGATCGGAATTTGAACAGTTAATGCAAATATGTTTGCTCTTGCATTAGCTGGTACACACGACATTGGCATGCGCAGTTTGTATGGGGCTCATATGTCAAATGTCACATGGTATATTCTCAGGGTATAAAAATAAGGTTCGGTGCGTTTGTTGAACGTTTGGAGATTGGATAGCCGCGATTTAATTTTTCGCATCAGCTGCGTGGAATGCAAACAGACTCTGGTAAGCTGTCGGTAAGCGCTATGAACACCAGCGGGCTCCAATGAATGTAAGTTCTTCAAGACCCATCGGTGGTGCCGAGCGTAAAACGTAAACAATTTGCGAATGAAATTAAATAGAACTCGAATGGCGCAGGAAGATAGGGTGACGAACTTTTTACAGTTGGTAGGATTATATAAGCGTCTAACTTATCAGCAAGTTTGCGCTTGTGTAATCCCCTTAGCAGCATGTAGTAGCATGCAGGGATTATTATAGCTTGTTCGTATAGTCTAAACTAGGAAAATGTGTTTCCTCGGTCATTATGTAATTAATTAATTAATTAATTAGACAATTTCTTTAAAATCCCAATTGTCTTTATATGAATGCGTAAACAATATAATATTCAAGAATATCTGTAATGATTTTACTGTCAAGAGAACACAGTTTCACACAACAAAAAGTTTATATTAAAAGATATCCATTGGCCATACGTTACAGCGATCACTCAAGACAAGCATTAAAGGCGCTTTTTTACGGACACAAATCTGCCCACATGACTGTTGCGAATTCGTATTTTGTTACATAGGGGAGCAAAAAATAGGACGTCGTGGACGCTCAGACTATACGTCTGGTTGTCAGTGATTTGGTGTCTTTATACTGACCACAATATATATATATATATATATATATATATATATATATATATATATATGTATGACATCGTACTTTAATATAACTTATATAATAAAATAACTACATTTCCCACGTTACACTCACTTCGTAATTCAACTGTGAATATATATTATAGAAGATATAAGAATAAAGAAAATCGCGTCAGATAGCATTGAATAATGACGAATCAAAAATCACCAGATATGAAATTTAACATAAATGGCTGGCATGACGACATCCCACATTCGTAAAAAGGCTAAAACCTATCAAAATATTTTTCCTTCATTTGCAGATTACACGCCACATTCGATCAAAAGCACAAACATCATAGACTGGCTTTAAAGATACAGGTCTAGTGACAAATTTCAATAAAAGAAAAACAAATACATAATCGAAATCCACACAACTTCGCATAACACTGCATAAATGTTTTCAATCGTAGTAAGTTCACACATATAGTTGCGAAAATTAGGTTAAAACACAGCAGAACTAGCTGCAGGTGATATAATATAAATATATATACCGATAACATTTACATATCTGTACTGGCAGAAGTGACTAAAAACAATTGTGTTATTCACTTCTGAAACTAGTACCGAGTGTGCATATTGCTACTAATACCAGGTAGCTAAAATCTTTCAGTGTTCACGGGCACTGCCACTGTTCTGCTGACATCATGAAAGAGTGGTATAGGGCAATATAAGAGTAATAATATCAACCAGGAGCGCATTATAACAATGTGACAAAAATGCTTCATGGGAAATTTATTCGTGTTAGTGCATGAAACGCGTGTAAATTACATGATTGCAAGGGCCATACCCTTTGGGGTAAAATTATTTGTTTAATATAATAACACTTATATATATATATATATATATATATATATATATAATATATCTTTAATATATTTCTTTGGGAAGAAAATACATTGTATAACAGTATAGGCAACATTTAAATGAGTAATTCATGAATATCCTCCAATATAACACATACACTCAACGATTATATAAAACTAAAGATTTTTCGTCAGAAACATACACATTCACCAAGAAGTGTGTAAGGCAATTTAATTTGCCATCGTAAGGATATAAGCTCACCACGAAGGATTAAGCGTAACCACGAACATACCTACACAGGTCCACAAGCCCTTATCCACATTTTCAGCTAGAAAAACGGATGGAATTTTTTTTTCATGGAGCATCACTCGTGTCCACGACGTGACAAATAAACTATTATACCATTTATAGTCTTTATTTATCCTATTTAATGTGAATATTCATAAAGTTCGCCGCAGTAATATTACCATTTTAGCTTGTGGGTTGCTGCCACAGCCCTGTTCACGTGCCACCATGCATGGCACACGTATAACAACGCACATTCCGTAATCCGAAAAATTCCAAATTCTGAATACCGACTTCCGAAACTCATCTCGCACAGGGATTGCGGACAAGAGATTGAGGACCATGCACAAGTATATTTAAGTTCACAATATAACAAAACAAAGAAAAACTCCTGGCTCACTTCAATTTCTTGGACAAGCGGTTGGCGCCCGCGACAGCAGCCTTGTCATGGTCGTACACGGGCGGATATTTTAACATGTAGCCGACGGCGACTATCACTATGGCGATGCCCAGCAGCTCAGGACCCTCGAGGGCAACGTCCATCGCGATTCCGCCGAGCAGTGGCGCCACCATGCGGGCGACGGACGTCACCGTGCCGGACATGCCCGTCACGCCGCCGATCTCGTCGGCGTGGCAACGCGAGACGACGATCTGGCGGCTGCAGATGCGCGCGATCGCCGACGAGATGCTGAGCAGCGCGAGGAAGAACAAGAGAACGTGCAGGTTGGGCGCGTAGGCGAGCGCGACGAGGCAGACGGCGAGCAGCGCCGACGCGTGCAGGTAGAGGCGCGCGACGTCGTTGCCATAGAGACGGACGGCGCGGCCGGCGCCGAAGCTGGCGGCGACGCCGACGATCGTCGTCAGCGACGTGATGTAACCGTTGGTGCGGTGCGACGTCGCGTACTTCTCGCGCAGCAGCATGCTGAAGTTGGTGCGGTACATGATCAGCGGCAGGCTGAGCATGAACTGCAGCACGAACACGTCCGTCAGCGCGTTCCACATGTCGCGGTCGAACAGCGACGACAGCAGCTGCCGTGGCGAGAACGACGCCGACTCCTCCTCGGCGGCGGCGGCGGGGACGCAGGGCGGCGCGTCGTCGTCGGGTTGCTTATTGTTGTTGGCGTGCAGACTGTTGTCGGTGGTCGGACCACCGTTGATCTTCGTCTCGTGTCCCCGATGCGTTATCTCCGGTACGCATAACCAGCAAAGCGCTGAAAAGGACGTTTAATGACGATCAGCTTCTGAAAACGGACCTATCCGTACGCCTGGCACTATTGACAGCCTGCCAATCATTGTTATAATAGGGCATTCAAAAATACGATGTTTGGCAATGAAGTGCCGCAATGACGAGATTTTGGCATGCATGAGTAAAAACTCGCGTAAACTGATCATGCTGGACCGACGTAGCAATGATATCTAAGTGAGGCGTGGTCGGACGTCGCACAGACAGACTAGTCAAGTGTGGGAGAATCCAGCTTGTACGAGCACACATGACCGCATTGCTTCTATGTGTCCTCGACATCCATACTCGCGAGCTAGGTCTCACCTATGTTCACCAAGAAGGTGGTCCCGCTGAGAGCACACACCGCATGGAACCCTCCAGTTGAGTCAGCAATATGGCCGCCAATCAATGGACCAAAGATGAAGGCTGCGCTAGAGAATGCATTGAAGTGACCGAAAGCCGTTGGCCTATCCTCGTGTAGGTGAATCTCCCCGAGGTAAGATTTACACATGTTCTGGCTATGCTTGAACACGCCTGGAATGCAAACATCGTCAGCGTCATTACTGTTAGGTGCTAAAATCAACAATGGCTCGATCCTAATTCAGAACGTGCTGATTTACTTTCAACCCGTTTCTCCTCTTAATTTGTAATACTTTTTTTTAGAATAAATACAGCTTCACATTGGGTTGGCCCCATGCCTGTTTACCTAAAGTATTTAGTGAAAATTAGTATATAAATACACATTCTATCTGCAATTTTTTCTAACTGCTTTAGGTAAACATGCATATGGCCAACTCAATGTGATGCTATATTTATTTTAATAATGTTTTTACAAATTAACAGTTTATATTATGTTAAATGTAATATATAAACATTTATATATATGTGTAAAAACACATATGGTAAGTTTATATATGAATAATTCCTAAAGCAGACATATTTGAAGACGACTTGCAGGTATTCACGAGTCTGCCAGTCCTCGCCTACCTCAGTCTTACTCTTACCTACTATGAGTCGAGAGATCAATACCACTGAGAGCCAATCAGAAATTGACATCAGGTAGTAGGACATGGCCGTCATCAGCAGGCAGACGAGCAAGGTGTACCGTCGTCCACGCAGGTCACTCCACTTCCCCTAAAAATACCATCGACATATCAATACTTGCAATTCACGCAGACTGTAGCATTTCTTTTGTTACATACTTTTAGTTACGGTAACATTTTAAAATAGCACTTATATGATGAATACTCTTCCAATAGTCAGGATATAAGTTATGTATTATGATGAAAAAATAAGTAATGCACTTCTCAGGTAATCACACAGACTGCTGCTGTTGTCATATCAGTGTGATCGAAAGTAAAACAGGGTGTAGTCAAATCCAGGTTCACATTAATTTTGGCCCATTCACAGCATTCAGCGAATAAATTCTGTACCTACACCTACTGTAAAATAAAGTATTTTATAGATGACCTATCTCTGATGGTAGGAAATCTGAAAACTTAGCAGGGATGTCACTAACTGATTGTGTCACGTTGTGAAGTTACTTACAATTAATCACAAACAGTTAAGTAGGAAATGGGAAACCCTTTTGTGGACCAAAGCCAATGACTATTGACATGCATTAAAATTACCATTTCCATTCACATGCATTGCTGTATATAAAATGTGTCAAACAGTTAACTAAAATGTGGATTTTCCTCAGAGGACATTTCAAACAATTCCATTTTTATCAAACAGCACGTACCACAAGTGGACTAGAGAACAACTGCACACCTCCATATGTCGCTCCTAGATCAACAAAAGTGACAGTGTTACTATTCGGCGTTATAAATTTATTATCTCAAGATTATGTTACATGAAGGTATGTAAATATATATATTCTTTCGGGAATTAGAATGCATTTTGTATGAATATTTATCTGATCATCACAACTATTTATATTTTCTAAGCTATTTTCTCTATCAGTGGAGTCAATTACAATTATTAACATTATCGCAATTAAGCATACCAACCAAATGCTCGAAGGAGGGGGTTAACAGGAATTTTTTGTCATAGAAATTCAAATAAATGTCACGTTAAACCTTCCTGCAAAATACCAACACTTTATTATGTATATATCTTGGGTAGATGGGGGTTATGAAAAGGTGAAAAGTGTGTGATAACGTTGATATTTGTGAAAGACCAATTGGCCTGATCCAAACAAAAACCGACAACATAACTCAAGGTTAAAAGTTCGTGTTTTTTCACTAATCAGTCAGGATAGTTATCTGAAAAGGCTGCTACACATCTTCAAATATACTAGTCCATTTTTTACCAGAGCAAGTACATGCAAAAACAATCCTAGTTTACTATGCTATTCTAGAGAGCATTTCACTAAGGCTGAGAGGGTCTATGTCCCCCGGGGTACTGCCGGAACGTAACCTGGGTACGGTCCGGTATACCGGAACATACCCTGGTACTATCTAATATGCTGGACCGTACCTCGCCTACTCCACTAACGAGTCTAGGGAGTCGCCTACGCCTACTCCCTAACCCTAACCCTAATCCTAACCCTATAACCATATCAAATAGTGACCAGGGTACGTTCCGGTATACCGGACCGTACCCAGGGTACGTTCCGGCAGTACCCTGGGGGACATAGACCCTATGAGCTTCACTAAGAGTTCTCTCGCTATTTCGCGCTCATTTTGATCAGAGCCATAACGAAGAAGGTTCGCGAATGGAGAGATTGCGTTTCACAAAATTTCCAATAATTTAGCTAAGAGGTTTCAGCCGCAGCAGCTTCAAGCCGCGCAGCAAGTATTCTCTGTTACGCTGGTATTTTCATGCGAGTTTTTATAGTTGTAACTAATCATGCTGCAATCTATGCCGTTGCTGACAAGTCACCGGCGTATAGCATTACGAATCCTGTATCTGGCTTGCAGGAGAGACACATAGGCGTATTATCCTAGTACAAACAACAAACGCCCTATACTTATACATGAAGGCGGAACAGTGCACACTGCACAGAGAGAAATATCTCTCTATCTCTTTCAATCTCACTCACTCTTTCTTTCTGTCTCTCATCGTCTTTCTCTCTCTCTCTCTCTCTCTCTCTCTCTCTCACTCTCTCTTACAAACACAAACACGAACATGCACTCACGTACACAACGTATGTGGTTTAGAAACACTTTGGAGTCCTCTGCTACATTATATACGTATAGCGCATATATGTCGGGAGGTCTCACTAAAGTTCTCTGCTATTTAGTGAAGAACTAGCAAACAGAGCTTCGTGAAATACTCACGAGGGAGTATTAATGCCCCCTTAAGTTCTCTGCAATTTAGCACTAGCCAGCCTGCCTACCAGAACTTACAATAATTATTCTAGGCAGCCAGCAATATGTACACTTTACACACCACACAAGGGGCGGACCCAGATCGGCTCCAGTGGCTGCATGAGGATCCTCTTTCCTTTTTGGTACGGCAGGTCTAATCTTGCTAGTATGCAGCAAAAATTTCAATCCGTTTAAATAAATAAAACTGCATAATAATAAGAAAGCTATATAAAACTGTCAAACCTTGAACCTGCTCCTTCACATATGTTACTTGAAATGATGCACACACCTACATGTATCATATAATGATGCACACACGTACTTGTATCATAAAGTTATGCATAAGCATGGCATGTTTAGTTTACCAAACTCAAATGTATTATTATACATATATTGGCAAATCACCATGAGATAAATGCACACCACCTAATGGATAAAATGAGAACTATAAGTAGCCTACCCCAAAATTACGTTTTAATTGCTACATTCAATTACATATCTTGTAAGTAGGGAAGGCAGAACTTGCAGAGGTAATATGAATGTAACATGCTTAACAAAAGCTTTTTGCTTTGTGAGGGAAGTATAGCTGGCACTGGACCAGTAGATAGTGTCATATATCGGATATGAGAGCACCAGAGATACAGGGCAACATATCTGAATTGGCAGTTCAACATAAGTCAAAATGTGGCAAATATCAGTGATCGCTATGGGGGTTGTCCCTATGCCAAATTTCCCATCCAAAATTATCGGCCTGTGTCGCTGGTGCCCTCGTGCCCCCTATTTGACATTGTTTACTGTTTACTGGGTGTTTACGACTGTGTCATCTTGCTAGAAATTTTTAATGGAGAGGTGCAATATCTCCGATGGATTGGTACAAGTTCAGCAATGAACACGTCAAAACGAATAACAACTGTTGCTCTGCCAATATGTTAAAACATACTTGTCACAACCGCAGTGATACAGACATGGAGGGGAAGAATAACAAGAGCCGCAGAGCGTCTGGGCTCATCTGAGGTCTGTTGCTACGGTTATAAACGTAACATTTAAGTCGTGCGTAGTGACACCTTTGTTAGGCGCAGATATGCAGATACGCAGTTTGCGTACACATCATTTCAGCAACCTTCTGCATTCTGCATACCTCCCAAATCCCATGGTTGATACAAATCGCGTGCCTGAAACTCCTGTTTTATGGTGCATTGTGACCCTAACCCTATCAAAAAAAAAATTATTTGTTGTTATGAAATTGTTGTAAATAAATCATGTAAATATTTGCGTTAATTGGAAAAAAATTGTTAAATGGATAAAATAGAAAAATACAGAAACAGGAAATAATAAAAAAAATCTGATGGGCATCCATCCAAGGACCTTTGAGCCGTGATGCCTGCGCTGTACCGTTTGGCTATCC